CCGTCAGGGGCGCACAGTCCGCGCGTATGGTGTCGTCAGCGTAGAAGGCGGCCATGAGTCAGGTATCCACATGGATTGTTTGTAAGCAAAATGAAAAATGTTAGGACCCGATGATCGAGCCCCGGGGCAACACCATATGACTCGGGTAGACAGAGCCGCCCTTCACTTACCACCTGCCGACCTGCGACCACTCAAATATTTCTCATACCATTCCACACCGGCAACACCATACCAAGACAACTTGGTGAGGTGGACGATGTGGTAAACGCTATCAAACGTCTTTAAGCGATCGATCGCAGTTAACGACGATGCGAGACCGTCGTCGGTGTTGTTGACCAGACGTTCGACTGCGGCGAGCACGGCATCCTCGGTTGAGTGGCGTGACCTACAGGCATACTGGAGTGGGTGCAGTAGCCCTGTCGCGTTCAAATATTCCGTTAGCTCTACTCGAGCTACTTATGCTAAGATGTTAGAGAACGCAGTGATCAGAGATATGGGCCCGTTGGTTTACGGTACAGCTGGATTACGTAACTTTGTAATAGGTTTGACGCATGCCGTCACATAATATGTACTTATCAGGCCTTAATAGTCATGGAGAGAAGATAAGGTACAGACGGGGAAAATTGGGGAAAATATAAATGGTGGCAGGTATAAGCGTCATACTATCATCCCCATATTGACGAGAATGGGCAAGAAACAGTGTTGACAACACACAACAACAAAAAACACCACACACACACACACCACACACACACACACACACACACACACACACACACACACACACACACACACACACACACACACACCACACAACACACACACACACACACACACACACACACAACACACACACACACACACACACACACACACACACACACACACCCACACACACACACACACACACACCACACACACCACACACACACACACACACACACACACAACACACACACACACACACACACACACACACACACACACACACACACACACACACACCACACACTACACACACACACAACACACACACACACACACACACACACACACACACACACATATATATATATATATATACGCTGGGATTTATTTACCAGAATCCTTTCTCTGATGCATATTTGATAAATCGCGCCGGCTGCACACGCTTCGATGACAAATTTTCAGGCCGCCTCTCGCCAAACACATGCCACCAAACCGCACACGTTCTCCGCCACTCAACAGCCAGAACCAGTACTGGGCCCGATGCATTGCTCCACGGTAAAGAAATAACCAAAAAAGGCTTCCGGCCCCCCCCAACCTGGGAAAAGTTCCGCAGCACCTTTCAGTCAAGATCTTTGTCGTTTGAGAGAATGCGTTTGTAGTGCGGTCGCGCTGGCGCTCATAACGAAGCGTCGGTGTGAGTGGGCTTGGCTTAGTTATCACCGGTGACTGTGCATGATCAGGTAGACGCACAGTTCAGATTCCGTTGCCGATTTTCGCTACTCTACCATCGCTCACACCGAGCGATGGTGGGGCCGCTATTATCCTGTCTACCTGGCGCTCTCGCACCTCGTGAGAGTCTGCTTCCATCGCATCCGATGTGTACGGGCAGCAGGCGTTCGGACCCCATGGAGTGTGGGACCACCCTCGATGGCGAGCGCCGCGGCGCCGCCGTTGGCCCGGATGGTTCCGCCGCGCTCACGCCCAGCATCGGCGAGATTGCCGTTCCGCCTGGCGATCGCGGGACAAGTGCTGTAGGGTTTACCCGCCGTTGTGCCGAATTCCGTGGTGGGCGTTCAGGAGCGCAGTGTGTGATACTGTCGTGGGGTGGACGTCGGCACTCCCGGTGCGGCGGTGATGCTGCCGGTGTCCGAGGGTATGCGAGCTGCGTATGTGGCGCTGACGCACGAGTCGCTGCCGAATCTGCACCGTGCGAAGCGTGATATTTGCCCTCGGCTACCCTCGCCATTTTCACGGTCACGGTCACGCAGAGGGATGAATGGCATTAGTACTCGCCACGCTCAGATACATTGGGCACAGAGAAGGGTTGGACCGGCAGCGCCGGCACGCGGTCGTCACCCGAAGCCCACCTTTTTGAGACGGTGGTGATCTCATGACGAGCGCAGACGCACCTGAGCGTGAGGAGGGCGGTGACAGCGGCGGTGGTGCGGGTCAGGCTGGCGTCGGTGCCGGCCCGACGGCCACTAACCATCGGAGCAGTGGGAACGGGCCGACGACCGCTGACCGTCGGAACAGTGGGAACGGCCCGACGACCGCTGACCGTCGGAGCAGTGGGGAACGGCCCGACGACCGCTGACCGTCGGAACAGTGGGAACGGCCCGACGACCGCTGACCATCGGAACAGTGGGAACGGCCCGACGACCGCTGACCGTCGGAGCAGTGGGAACGGCCCGACGACCGCTGACCGTCGGAACAGTGGGAACGGCCCGACGACCGCTGACCGTCGGAACAGTGGGAACGGCCCGACGACCGCTGACCATCGGAGCAGTGGGGAACCGGCCCGACGACCGCTGACCGTCGGAACAGTGGGAACGGCCCCGACGACCCGCTGACCGTCGGAGCAGTGGGAACGGCCCGACGACCGCTGGCCATCGGAACAGTGGGAACGGCCCGACGACTGCTGACCACCGCAACAATTGGATGCGAGCCAGCAGCCCGGCCGCCAGTGCCGATCCAAGCACTGGGCGCGGCGCGATGACCGACGCGGCCCCCGCCGGCGGGGCACGCGGCCGTACGCGAGGACTGGGCATGCAGGTGAGAGCCAGGTGTCTTGCCACGGTGTCGCAGGTACTGCATTACGTTCCACTGATACATGATGGGGACGTCACTGAGCAGCTGGTCAAAGGACCGCCCGTGAAAAAGTGCGGAGAGCGTGGGTAAGAGCCTGATGTTGTTTCGTTGTTATCCTCGGCGAATAACTATTGATGCCAAGAAGCCGAAAAACTCGTGAATGCGTCGTCACTTGACCCAAAAATCAATTTTCATTCATTTTAGCAGGCAGTTAAATTTCGATTTTGTGCGCTGGCAGCTTTGTCGGGTCCTCAATGCCACCAGGATGAACGCCGCCAGCCACCTCGGCAGTCAGCAGCCACATGCTCCGAGAGATGGCGCCCTTTTCAGTCAGTGCTAAAGCACCATACGTTGGAGAGCACATGTGTAAATTGAATAAAAACGCTTTTTGCTTGCTTTTCGTCCGTTTGCTGACGTTGGGAACTGCATATTGAAAGGGAACCCGGCCGATTTAGAGGCGAATTGTCGACTCACTAGAGATAAACGTAAATTATTGAGCGTGTGTATCAGCACGATAGAGAGCATGTGCTCCACCCGCTTTAGAATTTATATGTTGGTCCTTTCACGCCAAATCAACCAACCGATGTCACCCGACCCCGTGGCATTTGGACGAAAGATCGGCTAGAACAATGAAACAGATCTTGCTTACACAAACAAACACACAAATAAAATTGATCTCATGGTAGCCTCTGTTTTCTGTTTTGGTTGCAAAGTAAAAATAACAATAACACGAAGAAGACTGTGTCACTTGTGAACAAATAAGCTATATGCCGAGATTTGTGGGAGATCACGATAATATGGGCTTTTGCCAACCTTGTGTTGCCCCTCTGGCAAGGTCATGCGGGAGACACTCGGCCCAGGGCAGTGGCCGCCGACGGCGGACGGTGGAGGGCCCAAGTAAGGAATATATGACAGAAGGGTTTTCATTCTGTGGCTTGATTTCTAAAGGAGAATTTCCAGATGTATGGGTTTTGTCACACTGCTTTTGACAGTTTCAAGCTTCCGAATTTCCTTCTGTCTAAAATGCTGCCACAAGTCTTATCCCTTGAAAATCAGCCAGTGAAATGATGGCGCATACAAAATTTATCGCGCTGTGAACCATCGATTCGCTTTCAAGCTCTCACCAACCTATGTCCAGGCGGTATTTTGGGATTTGCCCCGTGTAGGCAGATGCCTCCTCAATGACCCAAAATGATTATCCGCGCGTGGAATTTGGCCTCCCCAGGAAAAACAATATTCAATTGGACAAATAATTATGGCGAGCTGGACAGCCTTATTTGCCGAATGACATAGACGGGTCGAACACGCAAGATTGTGCGCCAGTGAGAAACAGCTCTGGGAGCATATCTAGCAAAACAGCCATGGCATCTGAATAATGAACAATAACAACCTCCATCTTTAATCCTTCCTCCCCGTCGTTGGGGTTGCTTTCCAGAAAAATTCCTGCAGTACATCCTGAGCTTGCCCCCCCCCCCTTACTTTTATAACGTTCCTACGCCTATGACTGCTGAACATGTTTCATAAACCAGTTTGGTATGTTTGATGAACCAATGGGGTACGTTACATGAACCATTGGGTTACGTTTGATAACCCCCTGGGGTACGTTTGATGAGCGAATGAGGTACGTTTGCACGCGGTGACGGTTTCCAAATGGCATATCCCATCAAAATTGAACACAATAGTGCAACCATGCTGGTCAAGGTGCTTGTCAAAAATTGCATTACTAGATGGCGCTGGAGGGTTGCGCTCGCGTTTGCGCATGATGAATGGAATGTCACCACAAAAATTATATTATCTGCGGCGTCTCATCTTTTCCAGATACCAGCATAAAAATCATTTCGATTAAAAAGAACAGCCTTCATAGCATGTTTTCTTGCTTGCAGGTGTGGCCTCGGTGGTCGTCGGCCAGCAGCCGCTGGCCTTGGGCCTGAACTTCGGCATGCACAGCGTCACCCCTCATCCAAGTGCCGGACAAGCCCGACGGCTTCCTCAGCGCCGACCAGCTCAACTGGTCCATAGCCGCCACGGCGCTGGGCGCCGTGCTGGGCAGCCTGCTGAGCGCACCGGTGGCGCCCGTGTTGGGCGCGCGGCGCATGCTGCTGCTCACCATGCCGCTGTGCGCGCTCGGCTCGATGGCGGTCGGCCTCGGCGGCCACTTCGGCTGGACACTGAGCGGCCGGGCGGTCATGTTCGCGGCGCTCGGCATGTCCGAGGGCGGCGTGCGTGGTTATGTGTCCGAGATTGTGCCGCCTACGCGCCGTGCTCTGTTCACAACCCTGTTGAACTTTATGGTGTACCTATGCCAGGTGCTGGCGCTGGCCGTGGCGCCGTCGCTGCACTGGCAGGTGCTGTTCATCGTGGCAGGCGTGGTGCCTGCCGCACTTTGTCTCTTCGGTCTCCTCTTCCTGCCCAACTCGGCCAAGTGGCTGCTCTCGCGCGGCCACTCGGAGGAGGAAGCCTTGCGGTCCATCCGGTTTTTCCGTGGCGCGCAGGTGGACGCCGCTGCCGAGGTGCGCACGATCCACGATTCACTGCAAGACGGGCGTGGAGACGGCGCCGCACTGCCCGTGTGGACCCTACTGCGGGAGCGGTTCACGCTGCACCCGCTGCTGCTGGCCTCCGTCCAGATGGTGTTATACGTCTGGTGCGGCGGCGCCACGCCGACGCTCATCACCGCCTTCGTGCTGGCGCCTGTGCGGCTACCGCTAAGCGAGTACCAGCGAGCCACACTCCCGGCCGCGCTCGTCTGCGTCCCCGGCGGTATCATTATAGAGAGATACGGCCGGCTTCCGGTGCTGTGTCTGGGCGGCGCGCTCTCCACCGTCGGCTGCTGCGCCATGATCGCCGCGTACTTCTTTCTCGCAGCGGAGTCGCAGGAGCGTCTCGGCTGGATTGTGCTGGCGGGCGGCGGCCCTGGCGGCGGTGGCCTATGTTGGCTTGCTCGGCAATGTTCGTATTCAGCTACGCCACAGAGCTGCTGCCCAACAAGACGCGCACCTTGGCCTCAAACATCCTCATCACTGTCCTGTTTGTCAATGAATTCTTGTTGACGAAAACGTACCCACTCATTAAAGAAGGGGTCGGTCTGGGTTGGGGCTTCATCATTCACATCTTGGTGAGTGTGTGTCAAGTATTGTTTGCCGCACTTTGTCTCAAGGAAACAAAGGGTCTCTCACTGGAAGAGATTCAGAACCTGTTTCAGAACGCTGAACAGGTAACTAGGTTGTCATTTGATGACGTTGCGTCACCGCCAATATCCAGACCATTGATGTCCCGCGTTGATGAATCGCAATGAAAAATCGCATTCTTCTCCTGGCAGCACATCAATGGCCCAGAGGATTTAGAACCGGCTCATGATGATGCAGGTTTCATTGCCACATCACCACCTTGCGATTGGATGTACAGAGAAAGGACTCTCCCTACGGCCGTGTTTATCGCCCAAGCTAACGTGCATGTGTCTACCATGGTGGAACGTGTGTGGAAAGAATGCAAGATCCCATGATTCTCAGCAACCCGAGGGTATAACGCGTATACCTGTGCCGGTTGTTCATGGTGTGCTTAATCTCGCCAAATTTTGGGCATTCTCCGCGCTTGACTGTCATAAGCAGTTTTGTAGCTTCCAAACCTAATGTGAAATAGTGCAATCAGGTAGCCGTTCACGTCCTCAGAAATGTTTGCTGTCGTCATGTGCTACCTCCTTTCATCGGTCTGTCATGCCAGCCGGTACGAGTCAAGTCATAATCCCGGTTTTGGGGACAATTTGCAAAAACCGCCCACCTTTTCCTGTGGCCTTTGTAAGCGCTATATGCATCGTGTTAAGCGCCGCCAACATGATTTCATGGATTTCTAAAACAGCTAACATAACACAGTAGGCACGAAATCGTTTTTAACCGATTGGTATGGTCAAGATGAGATGCAAAAATTGCGGGGGGAGACATGCCACTCAAATGTTCTTTCCGCTGTTTTTTCTGGCGTGAATATCCTCGTTGCAATGTGATCCGGCCAGGGCGCACCATTCATCCGCTGTCGTTTGCACCATTCATCCGCTGTCGTTTGCATCATTCATCCGCTGTCGTTAAGCATGGTCATCTGACACGGCAGATCCGTTCGCCTATCAACACCGTGATGCGACTGATCGCTGTACACGAACCCTACGTATGGATAGCGGATATGTGGAAAACGCAAAAATGAGGCCGACTAACAACGCTGTGAAGACTTTTCGTCCTGAAAAGAGCGCTCTGCTTCAAGGTTTTAAAATTTTGGATTGCTGCAGGCCATGTAAAAGCATTTCTGCTCGCAAGTGATATGACATATTTGTTTTGGTCCAAACATCTTGCCTAATCCAAAAAATGGCGTCAGGCCATCAGGCCCTCAGGGGCCAGAAAATGGCTATCAGGGGCCAAAAAATGGCCATCAGGGGCCAAAAAATGGCCATCAGGGGCCAAAAAGTGGCCCTCAGGGGCCAAAAATGGCCCTCAGGGACCACAAAATGGCCCTCAGGGGCCACAAAGTGGCCATCAGGGGCCTCTTCTCCCATCCTCGCGTGGCCGGTACGCCGGCCTGCCCACCGGCCGCTCCCCGAGGCTGCAGAGCTTCCGCCCGCACCCGACGGGACGGCCC